TTCAAATAGTTAATTTGATACTAATATCGATATATTTTTGTCAAATTTTTATGATATCTTCAAACATATATTTTATTCAAAAATAAAAACATCATCGTTTTCTCAAAATCACATAAAGTCATATTATAACATCAACTGAGATAAAGGATAAAATGAAATATTAAAATCACGATGTATCTCGCTGCATTGCGTTAGTACGCTTCTAGTTTTTTATTTATAAAGTCGTAATATCGTAATACGTTCTATTTTTTCTAATCAAATAAAAAAAACATAATAAATTCACAAAATAAAATCGAAAAAAATTCCAATTTAGTAGAATTAAGCCTATTGAAAGCATAGAGGATGAAAGTTTAAAATTTCAAAAAAAAAAAAATTCATTCAACTCCAATAGATTCTTCATTTTAGAGATTACAACATTGATTATATTATTAAAATATTTCTTTCGTATAATAAAATATTATTTCTCTTTTTAAATATTTGTTTACAAAGTTTTCTATTGGTGAAAATATATTAAATAATTTTCTCTTTCATTATAATCATTTTTGGGATGTTCTCGAAATTTGAAGATTAACACTCTTTATCTTATTTTCTCCATTTTAGATAAAGGTTTTGGTGAATCTGCAAAAGCAAAAACATACATAAAATCTTTAAGATAGTGTTTAGTACGCAGACTGGATGAGACAGAACAGGACGAGACAAGACATGACTAATTGTTTGTCTTATGTTTGATACGACTAGGATAGGACAGGACATGACAAGATTGTTAAAATGATCATATTACCCTTAAATGTTGTTTAATATTATTTTATATCATATAATGATTGTAAATGACAACAAATCAACCAAAAAAAAATATTTAAATTATTTAATCTATGATACCAATATTTTTTTTTAACATTTCAAGACCACATGTAAATAACATTTGTCATACCATAAATTTTAAGTACGCACATAATTTAAAAAATTTAAACACAACAATTGTAAATAACATTTGTCACGCCATTGTCAAAAGTTTAACATTTCAAGAATGGAGGCTGGAATCGAGAATGGAGGCTGTGGAAGAGAAGAAAGATGATGCAATTAAATTAGGTTTGTATTTTGATATCAAATAATAACGGTAATATTGTAATCTCAAATTTAGTCACATGTTTTTCTATATTTTTTGGTGGAACAAAAAAACTCAAGAATAGTCCCACCCAATCTTACTTTTGTCCTATGTTATCTCATCTCATTTTTGTCTCATGCACACCAAACATTAGATTATTTATTTTAATCTTGTTTTGTCCCACCCAGTCTGCATACCAAACGAATTCTAAAATCTATATTTTATCCATTTTAAAGAATCTCTTGGCTCAAATATTTTTATTGTAGGATAAATTGCATGAAGAAATAAGGTACTTTGTTTTAATTTCTATTTTTAGATAAAATATTTTTAGAAAATTCATTTTGGTATTTGAAAAATAAAACATGAACGTAAACATCTTTGACCTAAAACAATCATTCCATTAAATAAATCAAAAGATAAAAATGATTCATACGCCATAATAAAGCATGAACATCAGCAAACGACCACATTAACAACTTAGCAATTCATGTTTCTTACAAAGAAAAGAAACAGTCAATGATAAATCAAAGAATTTTATTGTATCTTATAAAAATAAATAAAAAAATCATAAATAAAAACCCTGATTGAACAATGGTATGTAAGAAGTAAGAATGCTAATTACCTTTTATTGGATTGCAAAGAGTTTGAAGTCAACCATTATAAGTTGTCGGAAGTGTGTCCGTTTCCAAAGACTTGTGTTCACCACCGAGTCAACCAACGTAGCAACTTTGTCTATAATTATACAGGTTTTCTATTATTTGATTTTTGAAAACAAAAAATCAACACAACCACCAAAAGTCACCATTCATGAACAGTTTTCATGCTTTATATCAGGGACGGATACATATATTCTTTTAAACGTTGACATCGTTTGACTATAAGAAAAAGATATGTGAAAAAAAAAATTCAAATGATGATACCATTTGATTAAGAAAATGACACTAACATGATTCGAACTTCAGTCTGGAATAGAATAAAAAGTCTTGCAAACCAACTCTACCAAATAAAACTTGTTCTCATTGTAGTTTCAAAATACATATAGTGACACACAACAAATTAATATGGTTGCATCTTTCACGAACCTAATTTTTTTTACCCTCCGACGGAGGAATATTACGGTGGCACGTTCCACCGTATACTCTACTCTAGGTCCATCCATGCATTATATATATATATATATATATATATAGAGAGAGAGAGAGAGAGAGAGAGAGAAAGGTGGATTATTATGTAACCCTTTACATTTATATAACCAATACAATTCAATCTCAACCGTCCATTTAATTTGATAAATATGTGATTTCATAAAAGTTTTAATTGTTTCCTAATATAAAATATTGATCATAGTTAATGAACCCTAGTCATTTTCCATAAATATTCAAATCATAATAAATGAACTCTCATCATTTTCATAAATATCTTAATTGATTAGTTGCATTGGTCGTACAAATGTGATGGGTTGCATTTGAAACTTTCTCCTTCTCTCTCTCTCTCTATATATATATATATGGAAAATTAACCTAAATAACCACCATCATGGTTTTCCTTACAATGTTAATGCACAAGTCTAGATATCCGAAAGAAACAAAAACAAGAAAAAGATAAAAGAAAGCTGGAAAATATGTATTACTAAAAATAAAATAAGGAGTATAGTAATCAGTTTTGGGTATGTAGAGTCTTCATATCATATCTCATTTCTTGGTATTTTATCATAAATTTTGTGTTGGATCTTCACCTTCAACATTCTCCTTCGATGATGCCTCTCTTTCGGTGTTTTTCAAAGCCTCAAGCTGCAAAATAGGAACTTCCATATTATTATTATTATTATTATTTTTACAACATTTTCTAAGTTACCAGATGTTAAAGCTCAAGAAATTAGCAATAAATTCCATAAATTGTAAAGTGAGAAGTTTGAGTTCTAGAGTCAAGTGTGCCTGTCTATCATCTATGTGCATTCAATTAACTTCAGATATGGAAACAGCACTTTGTAACCATGGCTTGGTTACATATATCCCAAATGAGTTGAGATAGGCATAGGACTTATGATGCTCGTTGTAGCATTCTTCTTTGAATTCTTCAACGTCTTCATGCCAGTTGCTTTCAAACCCTGCATTCTCGTGTTTATAAACATTTCTTTCAATGTAAAATCATGTTATTCCGTATTCAGCAGATCTTACAATACCAAAACTTTGCCACACTTATGAATTCTAAAGAAAACACTAGTCTCAGTCACCTGCATTCCCCAGGCCATGCTATCGATGCATAACAAATAGTGGATAAGGACATGATGGGGCTCAGCAGTTTAGCCATTCAGCCAGTGGGTGGTGTACATATATAATAAGATGAAAAGAATTAACAAAGAGTAATACAATATACCTGGTTACATGTTTCTTGGTGAACTGCCATAAGCTCATTGTATCGAGTTTGCAAATCAGACATCTCAGCTTGTAGCTTTTCATACTCGGACAAGCTAGGACCACCTAATTTTTGCTGCACAAACCTGTTAACTCAATAATAAGTTTATCCACATGTGTAACATTGAAGAAGAAAGACTTTAGCTATAAAAAAAATGAACTCATGTAATCAGAAATGGAACATTTAATATTTCTCCCCAAGTTTTTTTTTTAAATTTTCATTCTAGCAGCCTCTTTTTTATTTATAGCCAATGAAGCACCGATACCTGAGTTAGGGGTAGGGGTGATATTGGTGGTGTGCATGCCTGGATATGAACTAAGTGCACATACATTTATTAAAAACAAGATAAATAACTCAAATACAGCTTAGCAAAATTGGAGGTGAATACAGCTTGGATAGTTGGATGGTCCTTTGAAGGACCTGTGTCACACTTGTCATTTTAAATTCTTGTTTCAAGGCTTTTAGTACTTCTAAATTGTTACACGTCAAATAATTAGACATCTGATATGTAGTTTTATCAACAAGAAGATAACACACTTGGGCTCTGCAAATAATTAGAGTTTTGACATTTGTTTACCACTCCCATTTTTAATCCCTTCTCTGTTTCCTTGCATCATACATGAACATCTCCTCTGCCAGCAAAGACATGCACAAAAACACGCCCAAGCCCATGTGTGGGCTTTTGTACCCTCCCTTCCCCCCCCCCCCCCCCATGTATGTATGTGTGCGTATAAATATGTACATACATATGTACTTATGTATGAGTGCATGCATGTTGAATATAAACATACGTATACATATAAATTGTGGAAAGGCTGAACCCACACATACTACATATTGCACCAGATACACACACTCACTTCCATCCTTCCTAGCTTATCGGTTTATTTATTATTGGCATTTAAGTGAACACCTTAAGATAGGTGAATATATGCATAAAATGAAGGATGGATCTACAAATCAACATCTGGCAAAATGCATATGCGTCACATGGAAAAAAAAATCAAGTTATCTCAAAGATGTGAACTTACTCAACAGCTGAGGAAGGCTTGTCATTCTGTTCATATAAAGCCACAAGAACTACATGCAATAAAAAGTTTAATGGTGAACATCTGAGCGAGAATAAGATGCAAATTATATGCCAAAACTCCAACACCATGGCTTGAGATTAAAATTGCATAACTGAATAAGCTGAAATTCCAATTCCAAAAACCCTCAAATATGTGTTTCTGAACACTTCCTAACTAATCACCAACGATATAAAATGTTCTTTTATCAAATCAGTATGCTTCCCTTTACAGAGAGTATACTCTTGCAAAATTGAGTCATTTTGCAGCTAAGGTCTACAAACATAGCCAAGACAGTGAAATTTTAATAAATCAAAGTGATTACGGTTACACCCTTCTTAAGGAGCTTGTAATTTGTGAACATAAAGTAAAGGGGACAAAGAGGTTTTAAGCACAAGTTCTATATCAATTCAATTCATTCTTCACATTTATACAAGTCAAAAGAGGTCATTTAGTTGTTTTAAGAAAATAAACCATTTAGCAAAAAAGTGGATGCATCTGAACACTGTTATGAGGTCAAGTGAGGAACCTTTAGTCAAAGCATCCAGAACACCACTAGACTCTAAGTACTTCCTAAAAGCTTCCTTCTTTGCTTCCTTCTCCTGTAACCAAACAAACAAGACACAGGATTCAGCAGTCAGAATAATGCGATGTGAAAAAGGGTGTGCTTATAGCGAATTGTTATGTGTTTGTGTTTTCCATGTTTTAGCATTCAAGTCCCCTTTTCATTATTCTTGCATCGCATTTGCATCACCTCGTGATTTGCTCTCATAGTTTTGGTTGATTTTCAGGTCGGTGCTCAAGATGCAAGTTTTAATCGAAGAAACACCGAGTTTTAGTGTCTTTGGAATGATTCCAAATAAGCGTGCTTCAGCACAATAGCGAACCATAAATGGAGTGAACTAAGGAATTGCAGGACCATCTTTACCCATAAGTAGGTCATGAACTCATGATCAAGAGATCAGATCAACTCCATGATCTAACTTTTTGCTATACCTTCTAATTAAGGATATTAATCCATAGATGACATAGTTTTTAACCATTATATTGTATATCAACAACAGAACACATTGTTAAAATAACTTGTATTAGATTGACCTATTCTTAATCATTAGATGGTAAATTCTCGAACTGAAAATGGGTTGGCTCGTATATGTCCCTAGCTATTGCTAGCCATTGTAGTGGCCTCTAATTGAAGGTCAATTTTGATCCGATCTGGGTCTGGATTACAGCAAGTCCATATTCTTGTATGTACCAACTAGCAATAGCTTCAACCAACATACTTCAAATATTATTGGATTTATACCATCAACTAAATCCTTGCCCTAACAAGTTAAATAACTATCTGTTTATGTTTTTTGCTGATATAACTACTTCTTTTCCTGCACCAAACATGCTACTGATAAAATGATCAACTGAACGCGCATCCATTTAACAACCAAAATAAAAAAATTGCTCCCTTTTGTCAGATGTGGGGTTTTAATCATTTCAAGTATTTGCATTAATAACCAATAAATACATACACTAAGAACACCGCATTGCTGTTAATTGCATAGCAAACACTGCCAACAAATCAATTTGTGCAGGCTTGATTGAACCATACACAATTCATGATGTTAGATGTCAGAGTATACATTCAAAACACAAAACTTATAATGATCTTGTTGCAATTACTGAAGAACTTCATTCAACAATAGTCCTTGTCAATATATGAACTTAATTTGCAAAAATAATTCCAATTTTTTTTTTAAACAATAAACATATAAATTTTGAAACTAGAATGCAACCCTTTTGACATCCAAACTCAAAATGTACCTCTATCCTGAAGCGGAGATATTTGGATCTTACATCATCGACCATAAATCGATGCTCTAAATTACTCGGTTAAGTTGCTAATCAATTCTACTAGGGACACAAAGCAACAGAATGAGAAAAGAAGACACAATCAAACAACTCTGATTTGATTGCAATACAGATCGATGAAAATGATAGTTTTACAAGTATAAGCCCAAATAACAAGCGAAGATATGAGGAAGATCTAGTAAGAACTGACCATTATTCACCATAGATTTGTAAACGGTCGAGAGATGTGGTGGTACCCGTGAATTAAACGTGGGATCTGGAGAAGATATGTCAGTAGGGATTTCAGGAGTGTAAATAACTACCCAAACATCACACCCTTTTTATGCAAATATACAAAATTCTATGAAACCTTCAACCAAAAATATTATATTATTTATACTTATAATAATAAGTAGCATATGTCATCTTTTGATGAATTGGTTTTTTTTATTATATTATAATATTAATATAATAATGCTTTTTTCCTCTTGGTTATACATATTTTAATAAAATATTTCTTATATTTCCAAAGTTATTAACAGGGGTCAACGCGGGTTGGGTCGGGCAGTTTACAACAATTTTACAACCCAACCTAATTATGGCGGTTTAAAAAATCTCAACTCAACCCAACCCATTCAAAAATATAACTCAACCCTTACGGGTTGAAGCGGGTTGGGTTGGGTTGACGGGTTAGTAGTTACATAATTTGACGAATGAAATAATTCATAAAACTTAAGTTTATAGACCATATTATAAAGCGTCCTATCTAAAAATGTTATAATAGGTTTATAGGACGTTTTTTGACGTTTCAACAAGTGTTTTATAATGATCTTTAAATAAAATGTCGTATTAGTTATTTTATAGAAACATTTTGAGAATTGTCCCGTAAACTCATCTATTTTATAAGACACCTATGCTCATATGACATTTTCAAGTCGTGTTGTATAAAATAACTAATACGACACTTTATTTTAAAAGCATCATAGAATTTGTTAAGACGGCCAAAACCATCCTATAAACATATTGAAACTCTTTTAGATAAGACATTTTTTTAATGTAACTCTTTAAAAGCGTCATAGATTGATGGATTCGTCCATCAAATATCTATCAATATCATTCATATTTTCCAACATATCAATTTGTTGTTGCTGCAAAAAAAATCAATAATTTTCCTTATTAATTAGATTATTTGTCATCATTCTTTGATCGTGAATCTCTTTTGGTAACTTATACGTTTAGTTAAAATGAAACAAATTATAATATCAATAAAAATTATATAAAATTTATACATTATTAATATATATATATATATATATATATATATATAATTTTATAAAAATTATATATTAGCGGCGGGTTGACGGGTTGGGCGGGTTGAGCCTAATTTCAACTCTTCTAATTAGCGGGTTAGTGGTTTGGCGGGTAGACGGGTGGGGTTTAATTGGGTTTGTTAACTGGTTGGGTTGGGCGGGTTTCGCGGGTTGACGGTTTTTTGTACATCCCTAGTTATTAATGTATTTTTTAATTATTAATGAAATGATATAAATATATTATATACACATCTTTATATTTAAAAAGTGAGATAATGTAAATTAGGATATAAAATAGTTGTATTAGTTGTACAAATTTAATGAGTTATATTTGAAACAAACTCTATCTATCTATCTATCTATATATATATAAAATATGATTTATATCTATCTTACTTTAACTTAACAATTAAAGTCCTTATGGCTTTTGGTTTTAACTACAACTTAATCATTGTTTACAAACACATGATTATGTGATATAAAAAAAAAAACAAAAAACATATACAAAAGATTTAGGTGAGGTTTGTTTTTTAAGAGATGCTGAAGTATGGGGTCTTATTTCACTTCTGATTAATAAAAAATGGTGCTTAAGTCTGAAATCCAAAATTTAATAAGACTGTTTGTTTTTGAATCGATAGTTTGTTTTTTGTAAAATCATGTGCAAATTTTTTGCAAAATTCTCTTGATTTTTCCATTGCCAAAATTCATCACAACAATTGCTTAACAGATGGAACACAGTAAAACTAAGAACCTTTTGGATACTTTTCAGACTTTTGGTGCTATTGGAAATGCCACCGGTGAGTTTGTTTGTGAAAAGATCGATACTTATGATAGAGGATAGTTCATCGATAGAAGTTTTTGTTTCACATTAATCTTCAAAACTAACTTATACGTACAAAAATTATATATATATATATATATATAGGGGGGGGAGGAGGGAGAGAAGTGGGGGTGTACATTTCATTTCACATAGGTGATGAAAGAACGGTGATATCCTTGTTCGAGAAAGAAACAATAGTAAAAAAGAATAGAAAAAAGGAAATTAGATGAATTAAGATATTTATTCAGACTTTATTAAGTGATTACAAGGGTACTCGTGCAATGTAGCGAGATAAATTTTCATTTTAATGTTTAGTTTTTATTCTTTTCTATTAATATAATACGATTTTATGTGATTTTGAAAAAACGATAATTTTTTATTTTGAATGAAATATAAATTCAAAGATAGAATAAAAATGTGAAAAAAATAAATTGATATTAGTATCAAATTAACTATTTAACAATTTTCGTTTTTTTTTTTGTATAACTTCTTTAATTCAAGTTTTTATTATACGTTAATTTAGATCTAATAACCAAGTAATTTATTTTTGGTTTAATAATATAATTTTTTTAAAATAATAAATTAACATTGTTAGAACTCAATGATTATCTTAATTATAATTTAGATTTTATATATTTAAAATGAATGTTTATCCTGTATTTGATTATGTTTATCTGCAATTAGTTACACGAAGTTAAAAATGAAGCTTTAATAAGTTATATTTATGCAAAATTACTTGTAATCTTGAATTTTAAATAATATGCATCAATAAACAATACTTCATCCATAAAAATGGTTTTTAAGAGTTATGTTCAAATGCTTTATAAATATAGTATAGATAAAAGACTTTGAAATAATAATAAAAAACAGACAGTCTGAATTACTGAACATCCGAACGAATTAGACATAAATGATAAAATAACTAACAAAGCCTTAGAATTTATTTGACTTTTGATGATTGATATATTTGACCATCTTCTTCATCAAGAGTCAAAATTATGAGGGGTCAAACTCAATCAACTGTCCACGCACGCCACTGATGATCATGCGGTACAGGATCAAAACCTCATCCGGAAAAAACTGTAAAAGAACACAAGCACAAAACAAAATCCCAATCCATATTCCTCAAAAATAGGAAAACAATATCAAACCAAATTTATAAAAACTAAATTAAAATTTTATACCTCTTTCTTTTTCATCACACCATTCTAATGGAACCGGATGACCTTGGTCTAGGCTCTTACTATCACCACCACCACCCACAACCACAACCACAACCGCCACCGCAACGCCACCCACACCAGCAACCACCACCACCTCCCACCAATGGAATGTTACCAAACACCAACAACGATCCTAGACCCTCTCAGATCCTCTATCCTCACAATTCTGCCCCCTCCGCCGTCTCGTCACCCTTAGAGACCGGCGTCCGGAGGAAGAGAGGAAGACCCAGAAAGTACGGAACGCCGGAGCAAGCTGCCGCTGCAAAAAGACTCTCCTCCTCGTCTTCTCCGTCCACCTCTGTTCCTCCTTTGTCGCCGCCGAGGAAAAAGGACTTGTCTTTGGGCGTCGGTGGCTCCTCTGCTTCTACTTCTTTCAAGAAACCTTCTCTTGGTGGGTTTCTCGTTGTTTTTCTATAAATTACCAACATCAATTAAACCCTTTGATTTTTTTGGCTGAATAAGAGTTTACAGGGTTTCTTTAGTACTGTTGTTGCTGTATATTTGACCCTTTATGTCTCTGTTTATGCTTTTTAGCCCATGGATTCGAGAGCCTGCACCGATAATCTTTGCATGGTGAAGGCTTGATGGGAATGTGCCTATGTTATAACGTTGTTTTTTCTTTTCTTTTAATCCTTTTCAATGGCACCTTTAGCTCAATTAGTATATAGGTTTCATGCAAAACACATGAATCAAACAAATCTAGAGCAACCGAAGTGTCAATGACGCATTAATGGTATCCGGTCGAGCTGAACTTTCCATTAAGTCAACTTTTTAAAGTTGAGGATTGTGTGAGTTTTGTGGTGTATATAAATACTTAAAAGAGGAAAACAAATCTAGAGCATTCAAGCTAAATTGATGTCAATGGAACCAGACCGTATGCCAGATTGACCGCTAGACCTGCACTACTATACCCGTACTATACTAAGTGATGGCTTTTTATTTGTTACGATTCTATTTCTGATGATTTGAATTGGAATTTAGATGGTTATTTTACTGCGTTGTCGTTGGAGCATTACATGATTTTCTTCAGATTTCTAATTGTGTTCTGTACAAATAAAACACAACTCCGCTCATGTTTTTCATGTATATAATCTGTCATGACTGAATACTTGTTATGTGATTTCTGTGTCTGTTTATTCAGGGAATACGGGGCAAGGTTTTACACCTCATGTTATTTCTGTGACTGCCGGAGAGGTATGAAATACGAACCTGTATATTATGATTTGCTTTTTATGTCCGAGTCTTGCAAGCCGTAATCTGTACAACTAATGCTATCACTTATGGTTTCTGTTCTTCAATAATCTGCTACAAGTCTTTTGAACTCACAACTAAGGGATTCTAGAGATTCACAAAACCCATTTGGCCATTTGTACTTTTGCTGCAGCATTGGTTGAATATTTGATATCTTTCTTCTTAAAAAACCATACCAAACAAACCCAACACATCTCTTGGGGTGGGATGTTATTACCTTACAGGGTTATTTTGGTATTAGCTCTTTTAGAGTATTAAAGTAGTCCGTGCTAGTAGGTGTAGGTGCTCTTTTCAAAAAAAGAAAAAAAGGGAAGAGTTCACAAGGACTACTTTAATGCTCTAATAGAGCTAATACCAAGATACGCCTATGCAGTAATAGATGTATGCAAGACTATTTCCTAAATCTATGCTCTTAAACCGTACACAAATTAGGTGCAGTGTTGTTATCTTATTGTTTCTTGATCAAGTGACGATGACAATGGATGTACTTTACTTGTCATCCATTTCGTGATTCGGTTATTTCGATAATCCTTTTGTGATAATTGATTATATATCGAAACTACTCGATAATAATTGATGTTACTAATAAATCAATGTATTTTAGTGTGGACGGTCTTTGAGCACTTGTCATGAATTCATCTCTCTATTTCGGGTATATAATCTAAACAATGCCATTTTTCTGTTTCCGTGATCGATTTGAACTTTTTTGTAGGATATTGGCCAGAAAATCATGTCATTTATGCAACAAAGCAAGCAAGAGATGTGCGTCCTCTCAGCATCTGGTTCGATCTCTAATGCATCTCTACGCCAGCCAGCCACATCCGGGGGCAACATTTCTTATGAGGTAAATGAGTTCAACCACTTTTGTATGCATTCTTCAAAGCATTACATGAGAGAAGCATATGAAACTAATCGACCTTACCAGCTCAACTGGCAAATAAATGCTAGTTTGTGGGGATCCTCCTGATAGGTCGTCAGTTCGAGTCTTCTGGGCCACAAGAGATTTTCCTGGCTGTTATCTTATGCTTCCATGTAATTCTGCACAAACGAGCCCAAACTACCCATCGTTACCAAAAAAAAAAACTAACCGACTTCATTTTTAATCACTTGTGCACGCTGTCTAAAAATCGTTTTGTTAACTCAACGTGGTTTATATGACCTGACCGATTGATGGTTTGTCTGATATCAGGGCCGTTTCGACATTCTTTCACTCTGTGGCTCTTATGTTCGTACTGATTTTGGTGGCAGCACGGGTGGATTAAGTGTGTGTTTGTCTAGTAACGATGGTCAAATCATAGGAGGCAGCATCGATGGGCCGCTGATAGCTGCGGGCCCAGTGCAGGTAGTGTTCTTTTAGTGAAAGCCACTGTGTTGGCGTGCCATTTATGCTCATTCTTTGATTGGTTTATCAGGTAATAGTTGGCACATTCGCTACCGAAGGCAAGAAAGAAACCACCACTATCATAAAAGGCGATGCTTCTACCAGTAAGTTGGCGTCACCGAATGTCGGAGCACCTGTTCCGAACTTGGGGTTCCTATCGGCACCAGATTCTTCCGGAAGAAATGTAGTCGGTGGCAGGGATGAGCAACAAAACATCGATGGGTATCAATTCATGATTCCGAATCGGAGTGTGGCGGTAAGCGACTGGAGGAATAACAACGATTCTAGGGGCGGTGGTGGTTATGAATTCTCAGGTATGGTTTCTTGGTGGTGAAGATGGTCGGGTTGGGGTTAAGATTGATGCGTTTTTTGATGGTGGGTTTTGCAGGAAGAGTGAACCATGGGGTGCACCAGTCTCCGAAGAATGGGGACTACGATCGTTTCCAAGACTGAAGCGTTTTGGGGTGTGGTTAGAGAAGTATGGTTGGGGTTTAACCAATAGGTTGTAACACAATGCATTATATGATTGTACAGTTGACCCAAAAAAACGTACTTCTCCTTGAAGCAGCCAAATGTTTTGATGTGTACTTTAGCAATTAGTTTTTGAACTTACTTAAATGCATCTAAACCACCTTTCAACTATGCCATTTTCCCTTTTTATTTTTTCTTCTTTATTTATATGCATATATCACCCTTTTTAATTTGTAGATTAATGTACATATAAGTTTAATTCTATATTTCACATTTATTCTTTTATTAGAAATTTATTTCACTTGTTTTACCATTTATAAACATGAGACTATAATCCGATTTTTAAATTAGCATCATATATGGGGGGGGGTTTCAAATGATAATAATAACTAAATAAATGAATATGAATGATGAAGGATCATATGAGAATCGAAGTTAAGGTTGGAAGCGTAAAAGGGATCTGATCACTTTTAATCTCACCTCATCTGTGAATTGTGTTTTTCACGGGAATTGATCTAATGCATCTTGGTGTATTTCATTAGTGTTGATCTTCAATTATGATTGACTCAAAGGTGAAGATCTCTTCTTATCGGAACTCAACCCGAACATGAAAATGGTCAAATCACGTGTCAAATTACATATGATTTTACACTAACGATCAACGTATAGATGTGAGGGTGATGTGGCCCACGATCTTAGGTCACGACCATAGTCATGTGAATCATATGTGATTTTAATATAAAATCATATGTGATTCGACTACATTCTTATTCTCTTATTCAATTATTATTCTCGTATGAACCTGATTCTATATATATCTATATACTATATTATAAAGCATTTGACTTATTCTCTTAAAAACGAATTACCATGCATAAGATACAATTAATTTGTGCACATTACTTAAAATTCAAAAATACCAGTTAATTATGCATACGCACATGTTTTAAAAGCATACCATTCCCATTTGAATCTTTACTTGCCCTTACAATCTCTCTAATCCAACTAATGTCCTTAGAATCTTTTTTTTTTAAAGAGTAGATAGATATTGTTGATAGCATATATAATGGGCGATTTTGACATCGTATTTCTTATAATCACCGTTAATTTCTCTTCCCCGAAGCTCAGTTGCTTCTCTTTCAAGGTAAGCTTCAACATTATAGGTTTCGACCATTGCTTCTGATTGACTTATGATCTGTATCGCTTTTTGCTTTTTTGTTTTTGACTCATTACGTATTGATTCTTTATGGTTTCTTCGTCGATTTAGGTTTACTTCTCTAGAGCTCGATTGTTTCTCATCCCCAAATCTCGATTGCTTCTCTTTCGAGGTAAGCTTCAACCTTATGGGTGGTTGTATTGATTGACCATTGCTTTTGATTGCTTGATTGATTTATGATTTGTACCAATTTAAACTCTAATATCAAGCACCTTAATTCAAAACCTAGGTTTATCCCGCCATTCAGTCATGATATTTTTGTTACAATCAATTTGCATTATAGGATGATATTTTCGTTACAATCAATTATCTTGATGAAGTTAATTAACGACGGAACATAATGAAGGTTGCAATCGTCATTCACAGAAAGGGAGTTAGGAACTTGAGGAACATGTAGAAATATTTCAAGCCTTGAAAGAGACCAAAGATACATTGTAGAGATGTCAATGCAAATGGTAGTGTTTTTCCATGATCAATAGTTGAGAGAATCATTAGATTCTTATCCTTCCATTATTATTTTAATTTCGATTTGTATTGCATATTAAATCAAGATATATATTTCGTTGTATTGCGCGAGTACTCTATATAAATGTGTTTTTTGTACCTTCAATTTAATTTTAAACTAAAAATTTCTTAAAGGAAAAGCTAAAGTTATATAAAAAGAGTAGGATAAATACACCCGAATATCTTTTTGGAGAAACATACAACAATACCTTATACAAATTTCTGAAGTATCATTGTATCTTAAAAATAAAAATAAAAATATAATAAAAATTTGTAGGGTACAAGTGTTGATGCAATTGGGGTTTTCTACAAATCATTTTGTGAACTTTGCGCCTCATGATGAGTAGCCAAGAAACGGAGTACCACTCCAAGGATTTTGAGTGGCAAGAACTGAGGCAACAAATTGAGAATGATCCTACCCTTCGGTATCATTTCCTTCCTTATATCCATCAATCCATCCTCTCTTCCTCTTCATCTTCTTCCCTGGACTCTCAATCATGGAACCAGTTTCACGCTCGTCACGTTACCGGAAAATTCTTTAAGGTACATCTATTGTTTCTTTACATTGCTCCATTCATTCTAGAAATAGGGCTACAAGTCATTTTGATTTTGAGAAACCAAGGCTAGGGTCCTATGAATGTTGTACTTGGTAGATATATAGAAATGGACGAACTAAAAGGAACGCCAAGAATGATAACCAATCGGTGATAAATCATACGAGGGAATAGTAATAATCTTAGTAATCTATATAACGAGCATTTGCAATTCTTGCGGGTAATTACTCATTGGTGATGTAACTGATCCGGAACTTGTGGTAGGTTTCAGATCATTAAAGTACAAAAAAAATGTTATTCATCAGTAATGGAGTATGTAAGAGAGTTTATTTTCTTTGCCCTAGAATTGAACTTGTTGGTAATGGGAATGGAGTATGCAAAAATAATTTACACCTCTAAAATCAAGTCTGTTGTTCTTGATGATTAGCGCCCACTACCTCATTTTGTTCTTTTGTATAACTATCAGTTCTTTTCAATCAACGTTTTTAGTTTGGTTACCCTTAAATATGAAATAGGATGCTAGAGTCTCTAGGGTTGGGTCAGGATTAGCACCTTCTTCTTTACTTCTGGTTGGAATTATTTTCTCTACTTGCACATGTTTTGCTGTAGGGGGGTTGGTCCGCAGGTACAATCTTTGTACCTTCATGGTATACCCTTTGGGCAGTTCCTATTTGGAAGGATGCAATTTCTCGACGGTATCCACATCATCTTATAGGATTTATCCTACTGTGATGGTGAGATAGAGTAACTTTCCAACCAAAGTCCGATATAGTAAAAGTTCATGGCTGTTGAGCTTGACATTTGGATCAAGTTGGGTAGAAGCAGGTCTTGCATCAATAACACCAACGTGTTTGAGAAGTTGAAGAGCATACCTTTTGTTGAGCCAAAGCTCCTTAGAAATTCATTCCTAATATAGTAGTGAAGGGCACCAAGATCTTTGATATTAAAAGCTTGATGTAATTTGTTTTTGAGAGAATTGATTAAAAAAGATGTTATTTTCAACAATGTATTAAGCTTTGCTGGTGGAGTAGACGTGCTTTAGAAAGTTGATTCGATGTGGTGCTGGCTTACATTATGTATCAAATGTGTAGTAGTGCCGTTTACATTCTTATCTGCCATATCTTTATTTCGTTGATGACTTAAAGAGATTGCTCAGAGGAATTATAAGAAAATGATTATGTTTAGACTACTATGTGGATTAGGAAACTTGGATTTGGATGTTTGTAAAAAGAGATTTCTACTTTTCTATTCATATTTATATTTATGTAGGTCGTTTTGTCCAACTCTTATTTGTTTGTGCAGGAGAGACGGTATTTGTTTAAGGAATTTCCTGAACTAGCTTCATGTGAGGAGTATTCTAAGGTATTGGAGGTGGGGTGTGGTAATGCAAGTACTGCTTTACCAATCTTACGGTAATTCATAAGATATGCTTTATCATCAATTTCACTAGGTGGTACTTGTTCTTGTATAATTTAAACAACACAAGCACTTGTGGGATAAGAAATGTAATTATGTTGAATATGTGAGTGCCTATTGCCTATCTAATAATGAAATCGATGGAAAAGATGGCATATTTGATTTGTGCTAGTTTAGCGCATTAGCCTCATCATAAACCTTATGTATGCTATGCTTCATAGCCTGTAGTGAATTTGGCTTGTCCATTGGATGGAGTGCTGTACTTTGTGCAATAAATTTTCAAACAAATATGCATCAACTTTTGTTTTAATCTGCATGTTTACTGTCGAACCAGTTTGAATCACCATACTTAACATACGGTTTCCAAACCAACATAATTGCAAAAATGTAATAAATAGAAAAAATATAATAATCGAGTTGGCAGAAAATGGCGAACAAGACACTATGGTTGGTTGAAGAAAATGACTCCAGCCAAGGAGTGGCCAATTTTTGCTTACACGAGTGCTCTTTCTAATTTTGCAAATTAGCAGTATGGTGGTTAGAAATACTAATTGCTTGTTTAGTTATTATGATGAACTCAGAAAGTACCAACCCTTTTGAGTAATTATAGAGAGGTCAAGATATTTTTTTTCTCCTCTCTTCCCCGTCTTTTAGCCTTTTCACTAGTATGCGCACCTTTATTGTGTAGTTAGGTTTTTGTAGTTGATCATACCACTAATATCTACTTTTATCCAATCTAGCTGGTTGTTCAATTTTGTTGTCTTCGTTATGAATGGTGTTCTAGATTGATCCCGTTGCTTTCTGTCTGAATTTTATAAATGTTAAATGAAATATCTATCAAGCCCACGGGGGTGCTTTGCATTTATACTGTGAGGAACAAGCGCATACATCTTTAATGATGTACGAGCATTATCCTTTTACTCACGGCTCAAATTGTGATTTCCCAATTCGTGATTGTGTTAGTTGCCTGTCATCCTAATGGAAGTTGTTTTTCTTTTTCTGCTGTGTAGTGGCAAAGAAAACATCATTGTATTTGCCTGCGATTGTAGCACAGAGGCACTTGAGAGGGCAACAGAAACCATACATGCCTCCAATGTGGTCTCGGCTGAAAGGCGTTTTCGTCCATTCTGTTGGGATGTTTCTACATGTCATTTCCCTAAGTGGCTGATATGTGATTCTTGCCATGAAACAGCTCAGCTAAAGCAGAATATATTTCTTTCAGGTGGTCGACACTATTTTTATATGCACAACTGACCACATACTCAACTATATGTTTCTTTTGCTGTTCCAGATTTTGGCAATAACGAGAGCGATTGTACTACTGATATAACTTCATCAAAGGAAAGTGATTGCTGCATTGGTGGTGTGGATTATGTTACTTTGGTATGTTCCATCCTCTCTCATATTCTCCTTTTCCCCTGTTGACCATTGTTAATGACTTTGCTCTTACAGCTGTATACATTATGTTGGTTTTGGCAGATTTTTACTCTATCAGCTGTACCGCTTCACAGGATGTCTACGGCTGTTGCTGCGTGCTTCTCGGTTTTAAAACCTGGTGGACTACTCTTCTTCAGGGATTACGGTAAGCGCCCCATTAACTTGAAAGTCTTTATAATTATAAGGCATGGGTCTATCCATTCACTTCAGTTCCATTTTTTCCAATTGTGGTATATTTGGCTTGAACAATTAGTTGGGTGATTGGGAGTCCCTGATGAAAAGAAGATGAGGAAACTAGAATTGGATTTGAAAGTTGTATAAATGGACAAAGCCTTATTTTTCATACTTGCATGAATTTTGTCAAAACCTAGAACTTGAAGATACCCACAAACCAACAAGTAAATATATTTTTAATATAAATGATTATACTTAGATAACGCCAGGGCTTAAACTTTGCGATGAAGAAGTCAAAAATAAGGAAAAAGACGTAACTGTTTGGTCGAATCAGGAAAGAATGTGTATCTTATACAAGATCCAATTTTTAGTGTTGTTTTGGGCTCCTAGAATATGGCGCCCTTGGGGCTTTCTATTTGATTGTAGGCCTGGCTGGGTATTGACCGGGAATGATAATCTACAACTCGAGTTGTCAATTAACACGAAATGCACGTCGTGGTGGAAAAATATGGGTCCGTATATTTCCAGCAACAGTCGGACAAGTGTGGAGTGTTGGGGTGAACCAGAAAAGTTTGGGATTTTTGGTTTGTGCTCAAACGTGTTTGTCAATTGATTCAGGCCTCTATGACATGACCATGCTTCGATTTGAGCCTGATCAAAGAGTGGGGTTTAGGGAATACAAGCGATCTGATGGCACCCGTTCATACTTTTTTTCTTTGGATAGTGCACGCGATCTCTTTCTAGGTGCCGGCTTCACGGAGGTAATAATCTTTTTTCCTTAGTTGTCTATTTATTTGAGGAAAATTAATGTTTCAATCTTGTAACTCCAGTATAACCTCTACATTAGCAGTATTAATTTCTTTTATTTGCAGCTTGAGCTTGAATATTGCTGTGTGAAGTCAGTTAATCGTCGTAAACAGAAAATGATGCGCAGGGTGTGGGTTCACGGGAAGTTCCAAAAACCAATGTAAGTCGTTTTTGCACCACATACGATATAAATAGAAGAAAATATTTATTTGCTTCATATGTATAATTTCTTGGATTTGGCTTCCCAAATCTTATTACATTACAAAAATGAAATGTTCATTTACTCTCATTGTGGAGTAAGAACATACATTTTGCAAGCATGAGATTGAATAGTTGCAGAGATTTGTCCCTTGATTGATTTTTGAGTTGAATGCTGCAGAAAATAAAAGATGAGTTAAAAAGATCGTTCTATGATACCCAAAAAACTATTTTTTGAAGTCTTACCGCCCATAAGTCACGAGCGTTAACGATTGTTGTTGAATCGAGTCCTATATCAGACCAATAAGCAGTAATCTGGCTTGTTGAGCCACTTCTATTCCATAGAATTACCACAACTTTGTTATGTTGAAGAGGACCGGCCCAAACCTGCATTTTCATAGCATTCAACTTGAATTACGAAGCTGGTTTTCGTATGTCTGAAGATGTACAGAAATTGTAATACGATGTACAAGTCACGGTTATATTGATCAGTCGATAATGAATACAGACAAATTACCTCCAAATCGCCATTCTTCTTGACCTTTTTCCCCTGAACTCCAAGACTATCTGAAACAGGATTCAAGACCGATTAAATATCCGAAATTGTTTTTCTTTTCAGGGAAATAAAATTATGATGTTATTGTTTTGTGTTACTGACCTTGATTCACCGCGATAACTTCTTTATTGCTGAGTATTTCATGTGTTTCTTTGCTCATTGATCGTACATCACAACCAACCAAAAGAGGTGCCTACAAAAAGTGGTTCTATCTCCATTTAAAAGCTAATGTGTTAAATATACTGTTACCAAGTAAAACCTGTTAGTTGTATACCTTTGCTAATGCCCAAATGCTAAAATGTGAACGGTATTCCTCTGTTGTCATGCCTCCATTCCCGACTTCCAACATGTCAGGATCTATGACGAGAAAAACACGAGCTTTTGAACTCCAAAATCGTAATCTAATTGTTACACGAAAACAATTTAGAAAGTTGGGAGGTGTAAATTACCATTCCATCCACCGGGTTTTGCATACGATGCCCATTTATCGTTTTCATCTGCCCGTGAAGTCATGCTAGTAGAAATCAAGATAAATATATAGTCATTTCGTGTTACAACAAAGAATCTTAATATATTGGGTTGGGTTCTCGTAAGATCATAACCATACCTATCCCAGTTATCAGAAATATCTCCGGTTGTTCTCCAGCTATTGCCAACCTCATTTGCCCAAGTGGCAGGATCGTCTTGGCCCCTAATGGTTGAAATGACATATTTGCCCTCCTAGGTCATTTTTTTAATGTGCAATAAAAAAGCATAGGCCACACCACAACAACACTCACCATTCACATAAGGAATAAAAGATGGGCCTTCCAGAGTTCTGCAAAGCTTTTGTCATTATTGGATACCTTTTCTCACAAAACAGAATAAACCCATCACCAACAAATTTTGGAAAATACAATATTTTTAATTTTTTTGAATTATAAATAACTTGTATACCTTTCTTTCGGGCTTATATCTTGATTGTTACAATTATCGTATTTTAGATAATCGATTCCCTGTAAGAAAATCACTAAGCTCTATTTTATGCACTCCAAAAGAAATGATATGGATGCATGAAAGTAAGAGAGTACCCATGAGGCGAAGGTCTTGGCATCTTGCTCTTCGTGGCCTAAAGATCCCGGCATTTTCTTACTACATGTTTGAGTTCTATCAAGAAGAAAAAAGGGACAAATGAATAGAAGAAACAAGGATTAAATTTGAGTAACGGAGGTTTATTATGTCTCAAATACCCTGCATCGGAGTAAATTCCAAGCTTTAGTCCTTTGTTATGAACATAATCAGCCAACGCTTTGATTCCAGATGGAAATGTCGAGGCTTTGGGAACAAAATCCCCCTACAAAAATCAAACAATTACGATACAAGACGAATAATTAACACATCAAACAATCGATTCATATGTTTATAACAAAATATACAGAAAAACTTTCTCAAAAATATAATTCAAGAAATAAAGATATAAAAAGTAATTAAAAATCTAAACAAATATTTAAAAAAAAATGATGAATTACCCTTGAATCTCTATCTAATTCTGCCCAACAATCATCTAGAACACAAACACATAAAATAATATTAATATAAAATTATAATTAATACTTTAAAGATTCAAAAAAAAACAAGGACACACCACATGAATCACACAGACATTGGGCAAATTAAAGATCTGAAAAGATAGGGTACGGCCCACTTCATTAATGCTGGAGTTTGTATTTCCATAATATTAATACGATTTTTTAATACATAAATACGATTTTACCTATATTCACGTATTGGTATCCCGCAGCAGCAAGTCCAGTTGATACCATGGCATCAGCTGTTTAAACATTCAAATGAATAATTAAAAAAATAATTAAATTTAGTTAATATATAAAAAAAAATGCATGTAAATGTAATTACCTGTTTCCCTGATTAATTTTTCTTCAATATTGCAAGCAAAGTGGTTCCAACTGTTCCACCTGATCATAAATAATCACCCTTTTATTACAATTCATTTTGTTTATTAATTCTTAAAATTTGTTATATTCCAGCTGAATAGATGAAGATGAAGATGAATATATATATATATATATATATATATATATATATATACTAAAAGGAAATTAAACAATATATTTCTATTGAAAAATTAAATTAGAAGGAAGAGATTTGAAAATAAATCAACGGCCGGCAACCGGTGGAAGTTGTCATGCTTGTGAGAAATTTTTGTTGCCGGCAGCAACTGTGTTGATGTGGTTCTGAAGCCAAGAGTACAACTGATAATGCACACAGATATACATATATATGTATATGTATATATATATATACACACATATGTATGTATGAAGTTATAACTTACCCCATCTGGGGAGTGCGGCCAAGTCCATTCTCCAAAAGGCTCCTCCGCTGATTTGTGCTGCTAAAGGTTGTACGTGCTGCCTCGCTACTGCTAAATCTGATGCTTACAACCAACAAGGAGAAGTAGCAAAGTACAACCTTTAGATGCATCATCTCCCTTTTCCCCTTCAGCAATCAATACAACAACTACTCAGCTAAGCAAATGGCAAGTCTACCTCTTTTATATGTACATATATATATATATAGACACACTCACACACACACACACAAATATAGAGAGAGATGATCAAATGGGTACCCCAAATATTAAAAGAACCATATGCAACTTTTATTTCAAGGTATTGTTTTATATGATATTTTTTCATCTATAACTAGAATTTATAGTATTGATTAATATATATTTGATTTACAATGTGTTTGTTACTTTGTTTCATATGTATTTGGTTCATAATGTGAAACTTTTTTACATATATTATTTGTTTCACAAACACATAAAAAAGATTCACTCTCTGAAACAAATATATGTTACTCAAAACTCTAAATTCTAACATTATATGCAATGAAAATCATGTGAAATAACACATGATGTACTGTTTCTCAAAGTTCTCACAATTTATTGGATTCTTAAATGATCAACCCTCTATATACATCTATCCTTGACTCTTCGTACAACATTTTTTTCATTATGAATCCGATAAAACTTTAGATTTTTTGATTGATAGATATAATCATCCAAAAGAATTGATCAATAACACCTAAAGAGAACGAGTTTGAGACATAAATTTTTAACCGTTAGATCAACTTTTTGGTCTCTTTGTTTAGCAAGTCATCTTCAACATTCATCCCAAAGTCAGATAATGCGCCCAAATGATACATGCCTACAACACTTTGCATGCTTGTAGTTGGTAACTTTACCTTGATCACTAAATCAAATTTAAAAATGCAACGTATTTTCCAATGAAATTAACTAATTAATTGATAGATTTGCGTGACGGGATTACGACGGTAAGTATTAGAGCTTGGAGATAGGCTCATAAGTAAAAGTTGCAATTCTATGTCATCAAACGTATAACTTTTTGATATTTAATTAAACGTATAATAGATAGTAGTATATATCTTGAAAGTCATATGCTCGGTTTTAGTTTCCATGGCGTGTTAAAAGAATGTAATGATATGAGATGATGCACGTACCAAGCGGCACCACCTACAACAAGGTTAACGATGACACCATCATGATTTAAGTCAAGAAAGGCGTTCAAAAGGAATTTTAAGAGGTGGAGATATGATCATAGCGATTCATCCATAACGATATTGATTTTTGATATGATAATTCTTATTTTATAAAAGTTGTAAAAATAAAAGTACTTACCACAATTGGGATGTAATAATAATATAATATTAGTTGTATGGAGCACATATTTGGTTGGTAAAAGCTCGAATTGATCATTTTTGTAATTGTTGACTTTTGCTCTCGAAATAGAAAAATCTACGTTATTTTATGTGGTGTAAGTTTAAGGAGTATCCAAATACATATTGGATTCATTAAGACTTGTGGCAAAACACACTAAAAGCATTTTCGATTGGCACGTTTAGACAATGTCGATCATTAAAACCAATCATCAAATTTCAATAAAAAAACAAACCTACATAATATTATGACATAAAAACAATGTCCAAATTAAGATCGATAGTATGATAAAAAAATCCATTTATTTTATGATATGTCGTTTGTCTCTGTTTCTTTTTATTGTTTCTTAGTCGTAAATATTACAACAAACACATAATCATTAAGCATGCCAACTACTCCTTAGGAACTCAATGCCTAAAACTTTATGGCTATGTAAGTTGCGGTTAAAGTAATAAAAATAAAAGCTTCAATTTGTCTATACGGCTTATTCTTGAAGTATAAAACGTTCTATCTGTTCCTGAATAGCTTCTTTTAAAATGGCTTCTGCTTCCTTGGTGAATGTCTTCATTTATGATATTGCTTATTGTTTCTATTAGTTTTTTTTATCTTGTACCAAAGTTTAAAATTATTTGCCTAGAAAATCTCAATATATTCTTTATCATTCATCTCTCACTAACTGTTTTGATTATTCCATCTGCATGAAATCTAGTTTTATATTAATTGATAATAGATTTCTTGTTATTAGTTAAGAGAACTCCTAACTTTTGAAAAAATTACCAACAAGATTAGACGTCCAACTTATATCTATATTTAGGATTTCAAAACTACCATTATTTTTCATATATTATTGACTCTTTATCACCTAATATTAAGTGCATAAATCTTAAGTACGCTCTTACCTTTAAAACAAGATCAAAATCTCAAGCTATATTCAGCATGAACTTTTGACTCTAACATTGATGGTTCCTAAAAAGTTTGTTTTAACCCTACAAGGTGTAAACTGTGATGAAAAACTTTAACATGAGGCAAGATGGAAACTCGACTGATTTCATAGAGTATTACTCCGAATAGTCAATATTGTTACCCCATACGATGTCAACCGATATACTGAAGGTAATTGACGATGTTATGTAAAAATGATATGGTAAATAATATAATTTGGAAATAATTATGGATCGATTTTGCGTCTAGGAATAATCGGAATAACAATTTTATATGAATTATTACACTACAATAAAATTGATTTTATAGGATGCTTAAAATATAGAAGAGTACTTAAAAAATATATTTATAGGACTTAAATTTATAGAACAAAACCAAACATGTGTAAAAGTGTTACAATAGGTTTATAGGACATTTTTAGACGTTTTAACAAGTTTTTAGAAAACTTTTAAAATAAAGTGTCGGTTTAATGAACTATTTTATTATTTGAAAAAGTGACCAATAAATACAAATGTTCTATAAAAAGATGGGTTTTGAAAAATGTCCTATAAAATATTGATAGGACACATTATTTTAAAGCGTCCAAAAAAACTTTTTAAGACACTAAAAAACGTCCAATAAACCTAATGTAACGGGCACTACTAGAAAACGAACTATTTACGACGGAAAAATCCACCAGAAAAAACACTTTTAAACAAGTTGTTTTATAGTTTGGTCATATAAACTTAAGTTACATAAAGTATTATATTAAGACGACTAAACAATCTAAGTGTCTTATAAAGCCAATTTTATTGCAGTGTTAGTCTTTGTTGAATTCAATGTTACTTTAGATGATAAAAACGATATATTAGATATTTTTTCATACTTATCAAGCGCTCTTCTTCCTTCTCATCCAAAGCTTATAAAATATCAGGAACAAACCTATTTTTCAAATCAATGATCGGTTTGAAGAAGGTTCAAATCCACATATCTATGCGCGTGATTTTTTAATTGTTGTGATTGGATATAGTTTTTGTCATTATATCACCAGCCCAAATTTTCATGTCTGATTGAACACAGGAAATGAAAATTCATTCGCATTCCAATTTCATTCAATTCCATGTCATTTTCATTTCATTTTTATTCACCTGTCTGAACCAAACACACCCTTAGATTTTTTTCAATTGTTAAATATAATCATCCAAAAGAACCGATGGATTACAGCCGAAGAAAATGATTTATAGACATAAGTTGTTAACCGTTAGATCAACTTGTTGGTCTCTTTATTTAGGATTAGGGTAGCAAGTCATCTTTAACATTTATCCCAAAGCCAAATTTCTTGGCGTTTGCAATGAGTCCAAATGTTATAATGCCAGCAACATTTTGTATGCTTGTAGTTGGCAATTCTACCTTGATCACTTCGTCAAATTTTAAAAGTACACACATGATGATTTTCGTAACATATTTATTTAAACTGATAGATTTGCATGACAGATTAGAATGGTAAATATTAAAACTAGGAATAGACTCAAAAGTATAAGTTGAAAATATGTGCCATCAAACGTATAAATTTATGATATTTAAATGTATATTGAATAGTAGTATCTTAAAAGTCATATGTTCGGTTTTAGTTTTCTTGGCATGTTAAGAGCATCGTGATAGATTCTATAAAATTGAGATTTTGAAGATTTTGGCTTGTTTTTTGCTCGAATAGATTTTACAAAACAGTTCTCTAAAATGGAGAAAGTATGAGTGTAAAAATCTCTAAATTTGGAGAACACCCTAAAAATGATTACAATGAGAGATAAATGTTTTTCATATATTCTCACTAATAGGAAACTTTGAAATTAAATATTTAGAGGGAGAACTCATATTTAAGATATTTTTATTTTAGAGTAAATTATGGATTTGGTCATTGTGTCATTTGGTTGTTTTTACAAAAAATGGTCCCTGAACTTCATTTATTACAGATCAAGACTCGTGGTATGTCGTTTTATAATGAATTAGTCTCCTTCTAACGGCCTTCAGAGAATTTTCGTTCTTTTTCTTTTTTGTCTTTCATCAATGCACCAATTTCATAAAAACCACATAAATCAGAGAGACGAAATCCATAATTAAATCTAAAAAAAAAAAAATTATATTATTTTTTTATACTTTGAGTTTATTAAATTAATTAACTATTATAATTATATATAATATATTTTTAATATTACTTATTATACTTTAAATTTAATTTTAATATATAATATTTTTTTTTAAATATGTATTATGTATGTATGCATACATGTATACACACATATACACAGGTGCATATATATATATATATATATATATATATATAGTGAGGTCCATGAGAAAATGATTAAGTTAACTGTTTCAACGGATATGATTAAATAAACATTTACAACAATATTTTTTAAATTATAAAACCTCAACTCCATCTATTTTTTATTCGAAAAAGAAAAAAAATAATTTGTGAAGTAAATTACACCAAAAAACAATAATATTTTTCTCACTATTGATGTATTTTTCTCCTCCATTTTTTGTGGTTTTTCGGTTTTTTATTTATTTTGCGTTGAGAGAGAGAGAAAGTTGTGTTTAGGGGGAAACAATAAATAAATAACCAGAAAATAAAGACGGATGAAAAAAACATATCAATGTGGTGTAATTTATTTTGCTCTATATTTGTTTATATTTCATTTCTTTCCCCGAATAAAATTAGGGGTGGTGCGGTTTTTATTTAAAAAAATATTATTATAAACGTCTACTTAATCATATTCGTTGAATCAATTAATTTAGTGGTTGATGAAGGTGGATTTTTCTTAAACAATTGAACCTCACTATATTTGTGTGTGTATATATATATATATATATATAT